GCTTTGTGTGGATATACAAACTTGCCAGGCCTTTTTGTTCATGAATTGTTCACGGGTTGAGTCTGAAAGGTTCACATCAACACCCATAAACACAGAAGGAGGGGTGGACAAAAGGCAGAAAAAGGGTAGATCTCTGTGAACGAAGTGTGCTACGCTGAATTAAAAAAATATTTAGTGTATTAAGGCTTAATAGGAAGTGTATTAATCAAGCTTGGGTGTTTGAAAAGTTGCTGATAAGAAAGTTTCAGGATATTCATTGTTCATTTTACGCACATATGCCTCTTTCGATGAAAGTTTTTTTTCCAATTACTTTACATTTAAGCTGTTCTTCAGACATAACAACTGAAATGATGAGTCAGAACTACATATAAAATGAGCCATTAGTAAGAGCTCAGCTTTTGCTTTCAGTGATCAATAATATTGCAGTCTATCAGTGTGAATGAGAAAAGCCATTTGAAAGTAAATTATCCAACAAGAAAAAATCAATAGTATATTGACTCATCTCACTTGTTTGTTTGGACCTTTTTAAAACTCTCATGTATGAAAATTATTGTGGCAAAACAATCCTTGTGCTATTTGAACTGCAATGAAAAAGTGCAATACTGCAGGTTTTATCCATGTTATTTTTATTTTTACATTTTAATCTGTTTTTACAAGCACCTTGTGTGAACACTCAGATTGTTTGTGTTATCTGTAGAAATCAACAGTCCTCCATTAGAAGCAGTGGCTGCACTGACAACAGGAAGTTTGTGTTTGTTTAAAGGAGGATCACTTGAAACAGTATCTGTGTTTACAGGGCCTTCCTCACCATTTTATCACCCAACCCCACACATGCACACATCCACACAAGTTTCCAACATCCTCCCCATGAAGACTGGAATACCTGAACCACCTCTGCGCTGCACCCACACATGCAGCCTGAAGCCCTCTTTGGCGTCTCTCACTGCTTCCAACTTTCACGCTGTTTGGACTGCCTCAATAAACTTTCTATTGTTATAAACAAATTTTCATAATGTCTGACTAATGCCTGGAAGAGGAGTTGAACAGATCCGGGTCAAAAAGAGGCTTAACTGCTTTGCCTCGGACAAATAATTTACATATGGGGCCAGTTGCGTACACCCACTTGTGTTGAAAACTATTCTTGCACACAAAGGTTCCAAACAAATCTACAGGAAGTCTGTTAATTCTGCTCACATTCCACAAATATGCATTGCAAATACACCATCCGTTACTGCACTGCTCCACTTTGCACTTCCCTCTCATACAGAAAATTCATTGTGTCAGTCTGCTCTGCATCTGTGCTCCCTGTGTAACAGCTTCTTCACTCTCCATATCATCTCCAGCTCCCATTGAACTTCCTCCCTTCATTACCAGATATTAACTTTTTTTTTCCTGGCAATAACCAGCCACAGATGTTAGGAGTCTGGAATGGTGACGGCACTCACACAAGCGAGAAAGTGAACTGCTGGGTTTCTCTGATTTCCTTCTCCTAGCAGAAACCTTGCAGACAGAAAATAATGAATAAATAATGATTTTTAAAAATCCACTGGATTCTTGCTGACAGAGAAAGTAATGTGATTGTGGTGATAAGGAGTTTTCATTTCAAGCTCAAACTGGTTAAGGTCGTCCTTGCATGTTGGTTGTGTAACAAGCATTTTTATTAATATGTGTACATGAATTTTAAAGGGTACATATGAATAATCTATTTTTAGCTGTTGAATGCATCATCCTGGTGCTGAATAGATGTCTTTATATTATTTTCAGATCATATTTTTCAACCCATTCAGTTTCTATGAACTATTACACTATTACGTCACCATATTTGCAATAGATCAAGATTTGGACCTACCAACAACAATTTCATGGTCTTCATTCTCCTCTGACTCTGGGTCAGAGTCTGGCACCAACATCTAAATCTGGATGGACAAGTCTTCTGTTGTTGACATCTTTTATTTAATTAGTAAATAAAAAGTTTCTGCAAGTTTCAGAGAAGTGCCTCGTTTGGCTTTAAAGAGGAAGTGTCAAAACGAGTTGATCGAAGACACACCCAGAAAAGGGGTGAAAGAGGGGCTTGTGGAGTTACAATGAGGATGAATTCAAACCAAGGCATTGCAGTTCCAATTTATATAGACAACAGAATAATGTGCATGTGGAAAAGAATTATGTTAAAACATCATATGTTTCTTTTAAGTTGCGGGGAAAAATGATTGGTACGCAAGTTTGTTTGAAAAAGGTACCATGTGTTCATCAATGGAATGTATAAAGGAAACAAAAAAAGAAAGAAGGAAAAACAATGACTTCTGCTTCACTTCAGTGAAAGTATCTGACTCACTGCTGATTCTTTATTTTCATAGGAACTCTGCAGTCTTCGTAAGAATTCATAAGATCATTACTCACCAAACCAGACAAACGACTGGGATGAAGTCTATTTCCTCCTACTTATTTATCTGTACTTTTCTGCATGGATTCACCCACTATGTAGCTGTGATTGTAAAACAACACCATTAGAAATTCTCCCTTTTCTGTAAATCTGCCTGGATTTTAGAACTAACCTAATATGCAATCAATAAGATGCTGTCACTGGAGGACTGCAGCGAAGCTGGGCAATCGGAGCAGCATGAAAAGCTGCAAAGCTAAGTTTCACGCTATCTCATGCTGTCATCACTGCAAATAGAAGTGGTGCTCAACTATCACGCTCCCCCTCCCCATCACCACCAACGAGTTCATCTTATCTTAGACTGAGGCAAGCCGTAAAGCAGCATAAACAACCGTCCTGCCTCCCCCTTAAGTCCCTCTTGAGTTTCCCGTTGTTGACAAGTAGCTGCCAATATCTGTTTTATTTAGAATACTGTGTTGATAAGTGAGCTTAGGCAGAAAAAGGACAGACTGACATAATAGGGTGATTGAAGGCTGCTGTGCGAGTGAATGTGCATACACTGAATATGAAAATGTTTTACAATAACATCCTCTTTTTTTCAAATGGGATTTGGAGTAAACCTTATGTGCATCTCTGGAAGCCTTCTCTAATTCATTAAATCATTAAATAGGGTTTATTGTTAAACCACAAAGTTTTCCATGAAGCGTTACCACATAGGAATGGACACTGTCCTTAAACACCAAGTTAGAGGCTTTGAGATGATTAAGTAATCAAAGTGATTAAAAATTACTATATTGTAAATATATTTATTTTGTGATTGTAAAAAGCAATAAAACTGGTCATAAACGTACAAAAATGTTGCAATTGTTGTTGCTCTGTGTTCTTGTTTTTATTCAAAAGGGACAATGATCAATAATACAAGACTTTACCCTTAACTGTAAATGAGTCAGGTGTACCCATGGGAGATCAATTTTAAATGGTCCTGGGAAGACTGATGGTAAAATACATTAAAATAAATCAAATCGCAATAAATTAAAAAAATGTTTTAATGAGTAGGTCTGATTTAAGTGAGGATGCAGGTTTCAGATGATGTTATTTTATGTGTCAAAAGCTGACAATTTGACAACAAGCGATAATGCAGATGTTTTGAAATGGAGTTCTGTGGAAACGTTATGAGCAATGATATCTTACCTGTAAATAGCTCAGCTGGAAAAATATGAGTTTAAATCTAACCAGACGGATAAGCTATTGGATAGCAGTGGGATCAAGACCAAAATGGATTGCTGCTCTTTTTGATTCATAACTTCATAGCCCATACTTTCCCAACTTCAGCATTGTCTTCACATTTACATATTGTTTACATAAAAAAGTATGATTATTTGCAGGAGGCATTAGCTCCAGCAGTACTGGTGTAAACATGTAATGAAAAAGTGCAGCTATGCAATATTTATAAAATGCTGTTTACGTAAACCTTTATGAAAGATTGTTATGGTAAAAGCCCTCTTTGGTCATGATCCCACATCAATCCATTCTTTACCTTTTATCCACTTCGTCCTTTCAGGGTCATGGGGGTCACATGGTGCCCACAGCAGTCAATGTGTGAAAGGCGGGTTACACCCTGGACATGCCGCAAGTCCATCACAGGGACACACAAACACAAACAATCATTCACTCATTCACTCACGCCTAACGCCAATTTAGTGTTGCCATTTAGCCCAACAGTCATGCTTTTGGTCGGTGGGAGGAAACCGGAACTCAGGGAGAAAACCCATGCATGCAAGGAGCGAATATGCTGAACCCACCTGGAATTTGATCGGGCAACCTTTTTTGAGATGCAACAAGTTTAACATCTGAGTCACTGTGGTCTCACATGAATTATAATTAAATTATATCAACCCAAACTAGCAAGTCCAGTATTTACTGGGGTCAACTTTTCCACGAACCCCATATAAAAGGTCTGAACTATCCCTTTAGTAAACAGGCATTTTTTATAACGATTTGTTGCTGAGTAATTTTACCCTAGTAGATTGTTTAAGAAAAAAAAATACATTTTTCTACCTGACTAATTAGACACATTTATTTTTTTATACAGTTCTAAACCAGGGGTTCTCAAGCCTTTTGGGTCTGGGGACCCCTTACAAGGGCAAAAAAATTCCAGGGACCCCCTCATAAACCCCATGCTGTTTTAAAAGATAATTTATTGTCAWTTCAACCCCTAAATGCCATGGGAATATATATTTTTATTAAGTTTATTATGTTTGTTTCATTAGTTCATTGTTCTCCATGCATTATTAAAAATAAAAATCAAATTAACATTTTTGTAAAAGTTTTTGAGGACCCCCAAGATACCTCTCACGGACTCCTGGGGGTTCAGGAACCCCAGTTTGAGAATCTCCACCATAAACAATATGCAATCCACATGTGTGGTCCTGGATTATGAGGACAAATAGGAGATAAAAAAAGTAAAAATAAATAGGACGTGGGGAGTGCGTGTGCAAGTATGTGTGTATGGGGGGGGGGGGTGCACACGCGCACAGAGGCAGATAGGGGTGGTGGAGCGGAGGGGATGGAGGGAGAGGAGGGAGGCGAAGTACTTAGAGGGGAGACGCATCATTTGTGCAGAGGTGGAAGCAACATCTCCTGTTCGCTGTCTGTCAGACGGACTCAGCAGACGTTTCACTTCGTCTCTCTCTCCAGCTGCTCTCTGTGGGACCAGGGCCATGTGGATTTACGGGCTCATTGTCGGACTTTTCGTCGTTTCTTATTCCGGTAAGTTAAACGTATCATTTTTTTGTCATTAAGTAATAAACTGCCTGTCATTATTAACCGCAGTAGGTGTGCGTCATTGGCACGGCTTTGCGCCGCGTGCAAGCGCAGCTTGTCAAACAGGAGTTTAACGTGGTTTCATTCTCGTTACTTTAGAATAAATTTAGATCATAATCCGCTGCGTTTGTTTAGATTAGTATTATGTACAAATGGTAACAAGTATTAAATAAGTTTAATGCTTAGGACCACTGATGGTTCATTTTGGACATAGTTTACTTTTGAGGAATAGTTTCACGAGTCTCAAGATTTGGGCATGTTTAGGCTACTTGATTGCAAGGATTGCAAGATAAGAAAAAAAGGTCTCAAAATTATTTTAAAATAAATTATTACAACGATTGTACTCGGACCTCTTAGATGTGAAAATCAGACATCAGAGCATTTAACGATTTTACTTATTTCATCATAAAAACATCAAAACGCTGAATCTGAAATCAGTTTTCCGAGCACAGCATGCCCATATAGCTGTCAATCAAAGACTGAGCTTCTTTGTCGCCCTCTCGCACCATCACTGGGAATTTTAGGTCAGGTGTTGATGATGATTAGACACAGACAGTTAAAGTTGTGTTTAAAGAAAGGGAAACGAGTATCGAAAGTGTTTTAAACTTTATCTGGTTCTCGGGGATGCTGAAAACCTGGGGAAAGATAAACCTCATAGGAAGTTTGTGTGAAATATCTGTAGCAGGTTATACAGGTTTTATTACCTCCCAGACCGCATATGACAACAATTATAATAATTATTATTATTATAAATATAATTATAATAATTTTGGAAATTGCAGTGCAATACTCTTGTGGTGAGGATTTATAAAAGTCAAAATTATGTGTGAGCTATAATGCAGCTTAAAGTTCAGATTTGTAGAAATGGGGTTCTGTGGCAAAGATGAACAACTAACATGTTACCTGTTGTATGTATCCTTTTGAACAACACCAGCTGAGTTCAGTGGACAAACAGAGAAATACCATTGCCCAGATTGAAGAGCTAACTGCTAGTGCAAATGCTGAGTGGAATGCTGCTGTCATAAAACAACTTCAGTTTCAAAACTTGTATTGCTGTTTATGTGGGTGACATATAAGCCTTTAAATTGCTGTCACTTTCATATTAAACAGTAAAATATGAATATTTCTTTTTGCAAATTATTTGCATTACAAATAGCGGGCAGTAGCTATCTGGAACACTTCCTTCCGATGCAGCCTGGAAAACGTCCTGCAGAATTTCTGCATTATTTTTTGAGAAAATGCCTGCATAAAAAAGAAGAAAAAATAAAAGGAGAACAAGCCAAAACCTTAAATTGACCAGCGGAGTTAGACATGAAATCTGACAACTGAAAGGGTATCTATGGTTGGGAAAGTACAACCCCAATTCCAATGCAGTTGGGTCATTGCATAAAACATCAATAAAAATCAGAATACAATGATTTGCAAAACTGTTTCCACTTATATTCATTTGAATAAACTACAAAGACAAGATATTTAATGTTCAAAAAGATCAATTTTATTGTTTTTTTTTTCAAATATCCACTCATTTTGAATTTGACGCCTGCAACATGTTCCAAAAAAGCTGAGACAGAACCGATGAAAGGGGAAGTTGAGGAATATTCCAAAAACACCTGAGGGGAGCATTTCACAGGTGAACAGGTTCATTGAAAACAGTTGAGCGTCATTGTTGGGCACACGGAGTATCCCCGAAAGGCTCAATAGTTCACAAGCAAGGATGGGGCGAGGTTCACCACTTTGTGAACAACTGTGTGAGCAAATAGTCCAACTGTTTAAGAATGTTTCTCAACATATATTTGCAAGGAATTCAGGGATTACATCATCTACAGTACAATATATCGTCAAAAGATTTACAGAATAAATCTCTGCAAGTAAGCGGCAAGGCTGATGCCCATGATCTTTGATGGCTTGAGGCAGCACTGCAATAAAAAGCCACATCATTCTGTAAATAATATTAGCACATGGGCTCAGGAACACTTCAGACAACCATTGCCAGTGAACACGTTTTGCTGCTACATCTACAAGTGCAAGTTAAAACTCTGCAAACCTAAAGCGATATATCAACAAGATATATGGCTTTTACAGATGCTGGCTCCTCTGGGCCCAAGCTCATCTGAGATGGACTGACGCAAAGTTGTAAAGTATTTTGTTGTCTGAAGAGTCCACATTTTAAATTGTTTTTGGAAATTGTGGATGTGGTGTCCTCCGGTATGTGCATCTATACATCTATGAAGGCACCATTAATACTAAAAGGTACAATACATACAGGTTTTGCAGCAACAAGGAGACAGTGTTATCTGCCGCCTCGATAAATCTAGCCCTAAATCTCTGGTTGCTGTAGTGTATACAATTGAATAAAGGTAGAAAAGTATGTGCATATCATTGTATTCTGTTTCCATTTATGTTTTACACAACTTTGCAACTTCATTGGAAATAAGGTTGTACTGAGCTGGGGGATGATTGCAAATTGTTGACAGGTGTGTATAACATGGGAGCAGAGGAGATCTGGGTGTGGAATAAACATAAAAATCTAACTTCCAGACTGAATAAGTTGCAGAAATATAGAT